TTAACCTCAAGGTGAGGGAAGCTTGTTGATCTGAGATGGTCAGGAGGAGCCGAGAGGCAGATCACAAAGTCATGCTTTCATCTTCCTAATTCTGCTGATTATCAGCTGCACCACTTAGAGGTCCTCTTCATTTAAAAACAGCCACGAAGTGGAAGTAGCTTACAAAAGGCAGATGCCAAAATGTTCACAAACATCCCTTTTAGACCTTTAATTCTATGTTTTATTACTTGAACTTTTCTGCAGACTGATCAGGAAATGAAACACAAGGGAGAAATTTCCCCAATCTCTTTCAGTTTATTTTTTCTTGAGAGAGGGACAAATGGGTGGGTTGGAAATAGGTTCATGGAACGCTAAGAAGAAAAGGGGTTTCCAAGTGATCAGATGGCCTCCAGGATGCTCTTTGAAGGGCTTCTGGTGTTTCTGGGACAGTTTAGATGGGGGAAATTGGCACCAGCATGTAGCATAGCACATGTGAAGGACCCAAAGCATGCTGAACTTGAAAAAAAACTGTGGTTGGGTTGATGGGCTCCAGATGGCATCAAGGGAGACACCCTGATCGACATTGGCAGTGGCGCAACCATCCACCAATTCCTCTCCGCCTGTGAGTCATTCCGGGAGATCATAGCCACCGATTACGCTCTCCAGAACCAGGAGGAGGTTCAACGATGGCTGAAGAAGGATCCGGGGGCTTTTGATTGAACCCCCATCATGAAATATGTCTGTGATATCGCTCCCTCCCTGGATGGGGACATATGTTTCTTTTATTAGATCAGGGCAGGGCAGGATTTGGCTTCAAATCTGTTGGCAAGACGTGAGCAACATATTCACACTGCAACATGGAAAGATGATCTTTGTTGAGAAACCAGTTTGTAAGGGAAATCAGGAGGTGGAGCCAGCAAAGCCCAAAGTATAATAATCATCCGAGCAGGAAAGGAACAACCAGAAATTGGTAAAAGTGTTTCTGGGATGATGGAAGAGTCTTACAAAGGGAAAGATTTTTACACAAAGCATTTTGATCCCAGAGCCCATCTGGAAAACTACTACAACGTTAAGTTGGAGGATGGTGGACTGGGTCAGTTTGTAACCTTTTTCCTGAAAGGGGCCCACAGGGCATTCACCATAGG